CCGGACCCCCCCTTTTTTTGCATTCGCTTCCTGATCTGGGGGATGCACTGCAAAGGTGCCTGTGTCCGCCCCCCCCCCCCCAGGTTCCCCCCCCCCCCCCCAGCGCTGCCCAGATTTTGGGGGGTTATTGCAGCCCCCCAGCCCTAAATCCGCCCCCTCCTGCCTTCCTTCCCCCCCCACCTCTTGGCTCGGCCCCCGCCTCTCCCCGGGGCTGCCCGCCGCGCTTACCTGCGGACGGAGCGCTGCCTTCCTCCTGTTTACCGCGAGCCGCCAGCCAGCCGGAGTCGCCAAGGCGATAAAGAACTGCCACCGGCGGGGCCCAATCAGGAGCGGCGACGTCAGAGGGGGGGGGAACGGAGGGGGGGGGGAGCCCCCGCCCCTCTTGGGCGCATCACCCCCCCCCCCGTCCTATTTCCCCAGGGTGGATGGAGGAGGGGGGGGGGGAGTTTCCAAGGGGGGCTTCGCAGTTTTCTCTCCCTTTCCTTTTCTTTCTCCTTCTTTTATTTGATTTTCCCCTTCTTTTTTTGTCTCTTTTTTTAACCTCCCGCCTCCTTCCTTCCTTTTCCCCTTTTTGCTTTTCTCCCCCTGCTTCCTCCCATCCTCTTCTACTTTCCTTCCCTCCCTCCCTCTCCTCCCTTCCTCTCCCTCTTTTTTCTCATTTTCCTTCCTTCTCCCCTTTCCCTTTCCTCTTCTCCCTTCCGTCCTTCCCTTCTTTCCCTTCCTTCCTTCCTTCCTTCCTTCCTCTCTCTTTCTCTCCCTTCCCCTTCCTTCCCCTTCTCTCCTCTTTCTCTTTCTCTCCCTTCCCCTTCTATTCCTATCCCATTCTTTTTCCTTCCTTCCTTCCTTCCTTCCTTCCTTCCTTCCTTCCTTCCTTCCGTCCGTCCCTCCTTCCTTCCTTCCTTTCTTCACAGCCTCCATCCCTTTTCCTTCCTCCTTTCCTTTTTTGCTCTCTTCTCCCCTTTCCCTTTCCTCTTTTTTCCTCCCCTCCCTCTTCTTCCTCTTCTCCTCTCCCTCTCCTCTCCTCCTCTACTTTCCCTCTTCTTCTTTCTTCTTCCTTTTTCTTCCTCCTCTCCCTCTTCTTCTTTCCCTTCCTTCCTTACATTCTCTTTCTCTCCCTTCCCTTCCCATCCCATTCTTTTCCCACTTCCTTCCTTCCTTCCTTCCCTGCCTCCCTCCCTTCTCTTTCTTTCTTTCCTTCCTCCCTTCCTTTTTTCCTCTCTTCTCTCCTTTCCCTTCCCTCCTCCCCCTCTTCTCCTTCTTTTCTTCCCTTCCTTCCTTCCTCTCTTTCTCTCCCTTTCCTTTCCTTCCTGGCCCATTCTTTTTCCCCCTTCCTTCCTTCACTACTTCCCTCCATTTCTTGCCAACTTTCTTTCCTTCGCTTCTCTTTCTCCTTCGCCTTCCCCTCCTTTCCATTCTTCAGTCACCACCACCCGTTCTTCTTTCTTCCTCTCTTCCTTCCCTCTGTGGCTATATTTGCCCCTTGCCCTTTTTTAAAGTGCATAAAAACGTTGGTTGGGCTTCATTTTGACTCTTTGGTCCCATAATATTTTATGCCACAATTTCTAAATATTAAAGGGCGCTTTAGTTCTTCTCTGCATCTCAACTTTGGCAGTTTTAAGTTGTGTGGGCCATAATTCCCAGAATTCCCCAGGCCAGCATTGCTCATTGCTGGCTGGGGAATTCTGGGACTTACAGTCCACACACTGGCTTGCCTCAATTCTAAGCATTTCACTGCTGTTGGCAAATTACAATTCCTTTATTCAATTTAGATACCGTCCGACTCCAACCGAGAGTTCTTGCATCTACAGAATAATTTTTTCTTCTTTTATGTCAAAAAGCAGTAAAATGTATGAAATATATAAGTGGAAAACGGGTGAAGCGGAACGAAGGATCTCAGAGAAGAGTTGCACTCGGAAGCAGAGAATAGAACCCAGGGGAACCTTTTAGCGTGAGGCGCTTCCGGCCTGGGGATTTTTAATGCCCATCGTTAAGATGGCGAATCGGAAAGAGCGCCGCCGCTCTAGTCAGGTTTCCCCCCCCCTCGCTCCCCGCCATTCAGAAACGCGCTCTACGCCCTTGGCGCAAGTGGAACCAGACGGCGGCGGCCGGCGGCGGCGGCGGCCAACGTCACTTCCGGCACGCCGAGCCGGTGCGGCCAAGGAAAGTGGGCGGGGCGAAGGCACTTGGCGCAGCTGGAAGCAGCTGGGAGGTCGCGCGGTTGCGGCTGGCCTGGATTTTGTGGGGAGGGGGCGTCTTCTCTCCGCCCCCACCCCAGATTTGAGGCAGTGGGGCCGGAGAGGCAGCCGGGGACTCGGGGGCCCGAGAGAGCAGGGGAGGGTTGAGGGAACCAGGTATCTGGGGAGGCGAAGAGGGTTCCCAGGTGTCCTGGGGGCGGGGGGGCAAAGGGGGGAAAAGGAGCATTTAAGGGTCTCAGGCCCAAGTATAAGGCTGGGAGGGCGGGGCACAAAGGGGTCAGGGGCACAAAGAGGCGGGGCTCCAATGAGAGTGGGGGGGGCTCCTAAGAGACCCATACGTTGTAGGGGGGGGGCGGGTCCCAGACCTCTGAGGATTGGGGGAGGGGGACATGGGTGAAAATGGGGCTGCAGGGATATAGAGGTGGGGAGGGTGCGGGGCCTCGAGATAGGCTCCAAGGAGAATTTGGGGAGCTCCTAAGAGACCCAGCTGTTGCAAGAGTGGGGAGGCGGTCCCGGACCTCTGGAGGATTGGGGTCCTAGGAGGGAAAGCTGAGCAGCAGGGGAATAGGGGTGGGGTATCTGAGGGAGGTAGAGAAGACCCAAAGAGAATGGGGGGGGGGGGGCTTTAAGGGACCCAGACGTTGGAAGGCTATGAGTAGAGAGGATTTGTCCAGGGCCTGCAGGGTGAGAGCCCCAGACCTCTTGAGGATTAGCGGGAGGGGGCGGCAGGGAGAAAGGGGGGGGCAGCTTCAAAAGCACCCCAGTTTCTTGTCTCTCTTCCTCTTGCAGCTCCTGCAAAGCGCCCAGTTGGACAAAAAGAGGGGGCTGCCCCTTCTCCACGCCCCGCAAGGAGATCCAGGGAGGGTGATCCCCCCGACTCTCAGCTGCCTCCCCAAGCCAGGATCCCCCACAGAACAAGCAAGCATCCTTTGATTTTGCCGCCGGAGGGGCCAGCCTCCCCCCCGCACCTCCCCAAAGGATGTAACACGCCCTCCATGCGGGGGCCAAGAGAGGGGGCTGCGGTGGTGGTACGACACCCCCCCCCTCCTCTCTCTCTCTCTCTCTGCAACCTGGGGGGGGCGGGCATGATGGCTCCCTAGCCGGCGAAGATGGAGAAGGCCGTGAGCAACCTCAGCTCCATCGTGCCGGCCTCGCGGCTCACGCCGGCCTTCCCGCCCGCAGTCAAGGTGGGCCTGACGACGTTCTACACGGCCTTGTACGCCTTGCTTTTCTGCTCGGTTTATGCCCAGCTCTGGCTGGTGCTCCTGTACCGCCACAAAAAATTCAGCTACCAGACCGTCTTCCTTTTCCTCTGCCTCTTCTGGGCTGCCCTGCGCACCACGCTCTTCTCCTTCTACTTCCGGAACACCCTGAAGGCCAACCACTTGCACCCCTTCTTCTTCTGGCTGCTGTATTGCTGCCCTGTCTGCCTCCAGTTCTTCACCCTGACCCTCATGAATCTCTATTTTGCCCAGGTAAATGCCGTTCTCTGCTCCCAAACACGGGACCCCCGTAGGGTTGCGGGTAAACGGGCCGGGTGGAGGCCGTGGTGCTTAGGCCGCCTGGGTGAATGCTGACCCTAACCACATGGTAGCTAGGGTCTTAACGGGTGGAGAGGAAACCGAGAAAGAATATATCGTAGCTCAGGGTTGAAATGAGGGGGTCCTGGGTGCTCTCTGAGCTTGGTGGTTTTCCTGCAGATGTTTCATGACCCAACTAGGTAACATCATCAGTGCTGGGAGGGAGGGAGAAAGGAGGAGAAGGAGAACTGTGGGGTCCTTGGTGCTCTCTGAGCTTGTTGGTTTTCTTGCAGTTGTTTCATGACCCAACTAGGTAACATCATCAATGCTAGAAGGGATGGGAGTTTGTGAGGAGGAGGAGGAGGAGGAGGAGGAGGAAGGAAGGAAGGAAGGAAGGAAAAGGAGGAGGACTGTGGGGTCCTTGGTGGTCTCTGAGCTTGGTGGTTTTCTTGCAGACATTTCATGACCCAACTAGGTAACATCATCAGTGCTGGGAGGGAGGGAGAAAGGAGGAGGAGGAGAAGGAGAAGGAAGGAAGGAAGGAAAAGGAGGAGGAGGAGGACTGTGGGGTCCTTGGTGCTCTCTGAGCTTGGTGGTTTTCTGGCAGGCGTTGCATGACCCAACTACGGGATGTCATCAGTGCTAGAAGGGAGTGGGGATTGTGGAGAGGAGGAGGAGGAGTATTGTGGGGTCCTTGGTATTTTCTGAGCTTGGTAGTTTTCCTGCAGACGTTTCATGACCCAACTAGGGAACATCGGTGCTAAAAAGGAGTGAGGTTTGTGGAGAGAAAGAAGATGTGGCGGGGAGGAGATACAGGAAATGAACTTGGGGTCTTAGAGGCTATCTGAGCTGGGTTGTTTTCTTGCAGACATTTCACAGCCCAGCTAGGTAACAACATCAGTGCTAGAAGGGAATGGGGTTTGCAAGGAGGAAGAGGAGGATCATGCCTGTGAGGGTCCTTACATCTTAGTTCTATCTTCATATGCATGTTTTGGGTTAAAGATATCTTAAATATCTATTTATTTTGATTGTCTTTCCACTCCCCACTACCTCCAAACCAGTAGTTTCCCGATCTTGGGGACTTTAAAATGTGTGGACTTCAACTCCCAGAATTCCCCAGCCGGAATATTTCCTGATAGGCTGGATTCTTTCTGTAGGTGAATTTTCTTTAATTGAGTGTTATCTGTTCATTTAGGAATAAAAATCCACAGTAGTTCTAATCAGCGTGTCGATAGTTATCCCAATTCACAGCAAAGGTCTATAAGCTTGTGTTTGTGCCTCAGATATAGTGGATGATTAAAAGTAACAAGATTACCTTCCTTTTTTTTACCTTCCAGAATGCCAATTTTTTAAAAAAAAACACAGGAAAAAAAAAAGCTGTAACAGCACATTCATATTTTGCATTGTTAGCACCTCTGTGTTAAAAAGGGCAAAACTAATGAATTCACAGCCTTATCAAAAACCACAGGAAGCCTTATCAGTAAATTAAGATAGCAGAATAGCTAGTGGTTTAAAAATGCTTGCTCCGAGTTGCAAATTCCACCCCTCCTTTCTCCCTCTCCCTCTCCCTCTCTCTCTCTGTGTATATATCCCGTTGGTATCGGTGGCAGCATGCAGAAATGGGCATGTTTTATGGCTGTAAGAGGTTGCAACAACCGAGTTGCTTTAATTGCAGCTGAGTAGCAATTGCAGCATGTTTGATATATTTGGGGTATATCTCGCTACTAAGCGTGTTTATCAAGAGGAGGAAGACTCCCCAAACCAGATAAGGAAGAGAAAGAGTGCAAAACGGTTCTGGGTTAGCAGAAATTGTGGTTGGTAGCCCGACTTTCCATAACCTAAGAACAGAATTGATGTATATATGAGTTGTGCATTTTACACAGTCCCCAAGGAGCCGTCTTCAAGGTCATTCGGTGGCTTTGGCAATGAATTGGCTCTGTTCCTCCCCTCATTTAGGTCAGGAAGCTAAGATTTCCCACTAAGTCTTGTAGACTCTTTAGGATGCCTTCTCTTGCCCTAGTTCCCATCATCCCCAGCCACGGGATGGGTTTGAGTGGTAAGGAATGTGAGCTTTTGGAAGCTTGAGAAAACCTGGCCCTTGGAACGCTTTCTGATACAATCTTTATTTACATTTACATCGATTGATTGATTGTTTGCATCCAGTTTTGTTCACCACATTATAAAAAAGGTGTTGAGACTCTAGAAAAAGTGCAGAGAAGAGCAACCAGGATGATTAGGGGACTGGAGGCTAAAACTTACAAAGAACCGTTGCAGGAACTGGGCCTGGCTAGCCTAGGGAAGAGAAGGACCAGGGGAGACAGGAGAGCAGTCTTCCAATATTTGAAGGGCTGCCTCAGAGAGGAGGAAGGGGGTCAAGCTATTTTCCAAGGCATCCAAAGGCCAGACAAGGAATAATGGATGGAAACTGAAGAAGGAGAAATTCAACCTGGAAATAAGGAGAAACTTTCTGACAGAACAATCAACAGAAGTTGTCCTCGGAAGTTGTGGGAGCATCATCACTGGGGGCTTTCAAGAAGAGATTGGACTGCCATTTGTCAGAAATGGTGTAGGGTCTCCTGCTTGGGTGGGTGGGGTTGGACTAGATGACCTACAAGGTCCCTTCCAACTCTGCTTATCTGTTATCTGATTCATTGATTAGCCCCTGGGCCATATCAACATGGAGAGTTAAAGAAACAAATTACTACTAAAATTTGATTTTAAAAAGCGATTTAAAATGGAAGTAGAATAAAATACCATTTAAAATGAAACTGGAATAAAATAAATATTGAATCGTATCCCACTTCTGGCAAATGCAGGCAGCCCCCTGTCCATCAAAATAGAATCGAAGCAGGCTACCGAAAATCCCCTCCACTAACCCCCCCCCATCCCCAAAATAAAACTAATGGTCAGTTTTATTCTCCTTTTCAGGTGGTTTTTAAAGCCAAAGCGAAATATCGTCCTGAACTGATCAAAGGCCTGTGAGTATTCCGTCTTTCTCCAGCGTCTTTGTGGGGTTTTCTTGCACAAAACTACAGGTGGCCCTTGACTATTCGTTTCGCGAGTGCTCAGTCACAAAAAGCGACATGAAAACCGTTTTTCACACTTAATGACCGTTGCAGGTCACGGGACCAAAATTCAGACACTTGGCAACCGACTCGTGTTTATGATGGTCGCCATGTCCTGGGTGTCCCGCGATTCCCTTTTGCGACCTTTGAGCCAAGTTGATGGGGAACCCAGATTCAGTTCACAACTGGGTTACTAATTTACCAACTGCAGGGGACTCCCTTAATGAACGTGGGAAGAAACGTCGTAAAATGGGACAAAACTCCCATTTGACAACTGTCTCGCTTAGCGGCATAACCTTGGGGGCTCAGTTGTGGTCGTAAGTAGAGGACTACCTGGTATCATAAATGCTATAATTCACGGGACACGGCCGCTCTTTTTAACATGAGAGGTTTTCTGGCAGCCCTGGGTAGGCACCGCCCCAGATCAGAGATTCCAACAATCGCCCTAATTAAATCATGATTCTCGAGCCAAACTTCAAAAAACTTCAAAGGATTCATTAGAGGCGACATGCCCTGCCCTGTATGAAGCCAGCTCTGGCATACTGTTCTGACCCCAACCCTTTTCCAATAAAACAAACACGAACCGAAGGGAACAGAAACCTTTTAAATGATTCTTACAAATCCCCGGTTAAAAGGCTGCTGCAAACTAATTAATTTTGATAAGCACAAGCCTCGCCAAAACTGTGCGAGGCTGCCAAGAACAACAGATAAGAAATATTTCACAACACAAAGAGTCTTCAAATACCAACTTAAGATACACTGCAATGTCCACGAGGCTGAGTTTCAAAACATCTTTGCTTCCTGCAAAGAACCTTCGTTTCACAGCTGGCTTTTATCTTCTCGAGGGAGGGGCCGTTACCTTGCAGCCTTACTCCCGAGTCGCCCGTGCTGCTTGCAGCTGTTCTTTCTTCTTACGAGCAGCCCTGCGCACACGCACACTTGGCACAGGCTCCTCGGGAACCTCCTCATCGCTGCTGACAGCCCCCACAATCTCTGAAGGCAGCAGTCGACTCCCTAAGGGTCCTGGCCCCTCACCTGAGTCCTCGCTCTCCCCAGCCGTCCGCACCTGCTGCCGGCTAACCACAACACATACATCATTTACAGGCTGGGTGTCATCAATCACATTCTCCAATTACAGGCTGGCTGTCATCATTCACGGTCTCCAATTCAATATATTCCCGGGCAAAAGCTCTGGTAGTTTAGTTACAACCTTTTAAAGAGAAGAGTTGGAATGTACTTTCGCTTCCACCCCCCCCCCCTTTTTTTTAATGACAATTACTAAAACAAGCATAGGAATGTTTTATGAGTTGACCTAGAGGGGCTTCGGTTGATCCAGGAGAAAGACGCTTTGGGGGATCTCGTGACTCTCTCCCTCTTTACTCCAAGTTGGGTTGTTTCCCCCTCCCCCCAGGTTGCTGGTGCGAGGGGTGTGCTTCGGGGCCAGCGTCCTCTTCCTGGTGGTGAACGTGGCGTGCGCCGTGCTGGTGCGGGCACACCAGGTGGAGCCCTGGGCTGTGGTCCTCGCCCGAGTTCTCATCAGTGACTCGCTGTTCGTGCTGGGGGCCGTCTCGCTCGCCCTCTGCCTCTTCCTCGTGGCCCGTGGCTCTCCCTCGACACGCATCTACCTGGAAGCCAAGGTGCGCCCTCTTGTCTCCGCCCTGTTACAGAATATTCTGCTATTCCATTCCAGTTCATTCCATTTTGTTCTTCATTCCAATGTTAGCATTCTGTTCTCTTCTATTATTTTCTATTTATTCAGTTCAGTTCTATTCAGTTCTATTTTATTCTCTATTCTATTTCTATTCCAAGCCATTCTCTATTTCTATTCTCTAATCTATATTCTATTTTCTATTTATTCTATTTTTTCTATTCTCTGTTCTAGTCTCTTTCCCTTCTGTTCTATTCTGTATTTCTATTCTATTTTATTCTGATTTGATATAAATGTCTGGGGTTCTTGGCAGTCTCTTGAGCTTGGTGATTTTCTTGCAGACGTTTTATGACCCAGCTAGGTAACATAATCCGTAGTAGAAGGAAATGGGGTTTGTGGAGAGGAAGAAGAGGATGGGGGGGAGGAGCAGGAAGAGAACTTGGGGTCTTTGGTGGTTTTCTTGCAGATGTTTCACGACCCAACTAGGTAGTCTGATCAGTGCTAGAAGAGAATGGGGTTTGCAGAGAGGAGAAGGGTGACCATGAGTTTTGGGGTCCTTAGTCTCTGTGACCTGCAAATGTTTCATTTCAACCCAGCTAGGTAATACCATCAGTGCTAAAAGGTTTGGGAGGAGGAGGAAGACTTTGCACCAAAGAGTCGTCTCTCTCCATGAATAACAAATTTGGTTCTTCCTGCTATGTCTTGTTTGGTTGAAAGAGATCTTAAATATCTATTTAAGTGGAGGAGAAAGGGGAGGAATGTGGGATCCTTGAGGCTGTGTGAATTTGGTTTTGACCCAGCTAGGTTATGTCATCCGTGCTAGTCGAGAGTAGAAGTTGCTCTCTCTATATAAAATCAACGTTTGGTGGCGTGTTCCGTCCAGAAGTCTTTATCAGTTTGCGGTATTTTATTATTTTGCCAGCTTTTAAAATCATTCCCCGTTTGCGTTTCGCCCTTCCGGTGCTGCTGGAAGACCGTAAGAAAAATGTATTACGATGCCCCAGCCAGGCCTCAGGTTTTCATTGGCAATAGCCCATCCGCAAACTGACCGCCTCTCTCCGAAACAGGGCACCACGCTGTGCCAAACGGCAGCCATGGGAGGCACCATCGTCCTCCTCTATGCCAGCCGCGCTTGCTACAACCTCGCTGCCTTGGCGCTCTCATCCCGCACCCGGCTCGACTCCTTCGATTACGACTGGTACAACGTCTCTGACCAGGTGAATCCTTCGGGGAGGGAGGTTGAAGAGCACCTGGGGGGGGGTGGGGGAGGGCATCTCCAGCGTCATGGACCGCAGTCCCCATCCTCCCCCTCCCCTGAGCTAGGAAGTGTGGAACAGTTTCCCCCACGCTCCAAAAAGAGGAATATTCAAATGTCCGAATTCATACCGTCTGACTCCGTCCTAGCTGGACAGGTGGTTGGCATGCTTTGTAGCCACTTGTACGCCATCCTCGAATTGTGACCATTAGAGAGCCTGCCCATCATGGTCATAAAGCGAATCCCTGACCTGATCTTAAGGCCTTTTGACCGTGGAACGCTGCAAACAGATGTAAACGTAGCCCAAAGTAATCTCAAGGCAGGTCTGTCGTAACTTCGAATCTAGGCTAAGTGACCAGTCACAAGTCAAAGAATGGGTCAACTAAAAAAAATACTCCTTTGGTCTTTTTAGTTGCCAGCAGAAAAGGAAAGCAGTGCATTCCTTAAATGCTTCAGATAATTGCTAGGCAGCCGAAGCTGTTGGCGCGCAAGATTATTACCGGAGAGCATGATTGGTGACTCTTGGCTATGGATGTGTCCCATTGGAGAATATACATCCAGGGTCAAGGGGGAAATGAATGATGTGTCTTAGTGTCTTAGTGTCAGCTGCACCCAGGTAATGCCAACATGGTCACTCCTAATAAATCATTTTATTTATTTTTTTACTCTGGAGATGCGGCTAGAGACTTACGATTTGAATGAGGGTATATTGTTGAAGCCCTGACAGGATGCCTATAAAGATTTGGGAATAAAGGGGTGTGTTTTAACTACCTAAGTCTCTCTCTCTCTCCCCCGCTTCCAGGCCGACCTAATAACCGATCTCGGGGATCAAGGTTATATCGTCTTTGGACTCATCCTCTTCGTTTGGGAGTTACTACCCACCATGTTGCTCGTGGGCTTTTTCCGGGTGCATCGGCCGGCTCAGGATATGGTGAGAGGGACGTTCGGTGAGGGGGGCGGGGGGGGAGGAATCAAGACTCTGGGTCTCGATACCAGGTGCGCGAAAGAGCAGCTCCACGAGTGAAGGTTCAATCAAACCGCTTCATTTCTTAAAGCCTTCAACCCCAACAAACAAGTCGGCGCCTGGTTAGCGTTAGTATAAGAGCCAAAAAGGTTTGGACTTCGTTCACTTGTGACTACGTAGGGGATGCTGGGCTGATGCCTCTTTTGGACTCCGCCCCCACTCCTCCTTTTAACCCTCCTCCTCTAAGAAGTAACCCCTTTTATTGGATCGTTTGTCTCGTTATTCATTGGCTCGCCCATCTTACCGTGAGCGCCGCGGCGGCCCAGGTGCGGCGCTCTCGCCTCACAATCAAGAGGCTGTGAAGGGACGGTGTTTTGCTTAGTGGGGTGGATTAAAAATCGAGGGTTTTAAAAATAAAATTTTAAAAATGTGGGTTTTTTTTTAAAAAAAATTTAAATCGGATTTTTAAAAATTTAAATCGGATTTTTTTTAAATACTTTTACCACGTTTATTTTAATCAAGTGCTTTTGCAGTATAAAAAAAATCTATCTAAAGATAGTTTTCCATTTAAGGTAACATTGGTAATTTAGTTTGTTCAGCATGAGACGGAGCTTAGTTAGGTAGCATGAGGCCGGCTGTCTATTCTGCAATATTTACTTTTTTGGGTGACCCCATTCCATGAATCCAAGCTGAGGTAACACACCCTGCGTTGATGCGTTCGGACAATTTCACAGTAACCGTGAGATCAATCATAAAATTAAGTTGAGGAATATTCCTTTTTATCCCATTGTTTTGCAAGTCAAACTGTATGATTGTTTGAAGAGAAACGCACCTGTACCAACCTCTTAAGTGTGAGGAGGCAGGGCAAGTGGTCAAAATCGAAGTGATGCCACCTAAGCAGCTGTCCGAAGACGTCTCCGTGGTCGTGTGGCCGGCATGACCAAACACTGAAGGCGCACGGAGCGCTGTCACCTTCCCACCAAAATGGTCCCTATTTGTATTTTTTACGTGCTTTCGAACTGCTAGGTTGGCAGAAGCTGGGACAAGTCACGGGAGCTCGCTCCGTTCCGCGGTGCTCGGGGATTCGAACCGCCGAACTGCGGACCTTTCTGATCGACCAGCTCGTCATCTTGGCCCCTGAGCCACCGCGTCCCTATGCTAAGCAGCTTATAAATGTCATATTAAAGAGCGCCTGTCTTTTCAGACCCATCCTGGCAGCAGCGCCTGTTAGCGGGCATCCACTCACCTGCTGCCCGCCGTGTCTCTCACCTTGTTGTGTCACTGTTACATACTAAGGCACTGGGACTGTCCCAGTTGCTCTTTAAAAAAACACGACAAGTGGAATCGATTTCAATCCAAGACTTTTTACTAGGGGTTTAAATCCTGATTTTAAGTCGACTTGATTTCAATCCAATCCACCCTGTTAAAGTAGGGGCTAGGAACGTGGATCCGCTGAGTTGCGATTGGGGTGCAAATGAAAACAAGCCGGGCAAAGAAGCAAAACCAACCAGCAAGGGGAGGAAAGTTGAAATGGTCTTTTTTTTTTCCTTCCGGCAGAGTGCCAGTCGCGTCTTCAACCGGCAGCTGGGTGTCTCCCGTTCTTATTTCTTTGACTATCCTGGGCAGCGCGAAAACGAAGGACTGACTAGCAGGTAAACCTCCTTTTTTAAAATCCTTCAAATATCCAGCAAAACCTTCCCGGTAACACAGACACTGGAGAGTGGAGAAAACGAGAGAAAGAGGGGAGAGAGAAGGAGAGAGAGAGAGGGAAAAGGAGAGAGAGAGGAGAGAGAGAAGGAGAGAGCGAGAAAGAAAGGAGAGAAAGGGAGAAGGAGAGAGCTGAAGAGAGAGAGAAGTAGAGAGAAAGGGAGAAGGAGAGAGCGGGAAAGAGAGGAGAGAAGGAGAGCACAGGAAAAAGAGAAAGAGAAGGAGAAAAAGAAGGGAGCAAGAAAAGAGAGGAGAGCAAGAAAGGAGAGAGGGAGGGGAGAAAGAAGGAGAAGAGAGAGAGAAAGAAGGTGAGAAAAGGGGAGCGAGAAAAAGAGGGAAAGAGAAGGAGGGGAGAGAAAGAGAAAGAAAGTGAGAGAAGGTGAGAAAAAGGTGAAAGCGGGAAAGAGGAGAGGGAGAAGGAGAGAGAAAGAAAGAAAAGAAAGGTGAGAGCGGGAAAGAGGAGAGAGAAGGAGAGAGAAAGAGAGAAAGAGGAGAGAGAAAGAGAAGGAGAGAGCGGGAAAAAGAGAAAGAAAAGGAGAAAAAGGGAGTGAGAAAAGAGAGAGGAGAGCAAGAAAGGAGAAGAGGAGGGAGAGGGGAGGAAGAAGGAGAAGAGAGAAAGGAGAGAAAGTAGGTGAAAGAGAGAAGAGGGAAAGAAGGTGAGAAAAGATGAGAGCGAGAAAAAGGAGAGGGAAAGAGGAGGGGAGAGAAAGAAAGGAGAGAGAGAAAGAAGGGGAGAGCGGGAAAGAGGAGAGAGAGAAAGAGAAAGAAATACACACACACACAAGGAAAGAGAGCGAGGAGGGAGAAGGAAAAACTTCCCGCGCCCCCGTCTGTCTGAGTCTCTCATTCCTCTGGTTCGTGTCTCCTCTCCTCCTCCTCCTCCTCCTCTTGCAGCCTGACCGGACGAACCCAGAGCAGCGGGAGCTACTACGGCTCCATCAACCGCAGCGGCGGGGAGCAGGACTGGTTCGGGGGCCACCCGCCCACCGCCCCCCTCCTCTTCTCACAGGCGGCCGTCTCCGGCAGCCACCATCATCACAGCCTTTACTCCACCCCGCAGAACTGAGGCACGGGACAGGGCGGCCTCCCCATCTCCCCCCACCCCCCCCCTCACCCCCGTTACTCACCTCCCCCCCTACGAGATGCTGCTGAAAATGTGTCCCCCCCCGTGTGTAAATGAGTGCCGGGTTGTTGGTTTTTTTGGGGGGGGGGGCGAGAGGGGGACAAAACCGGCATGCAAACAGGGTACTAGAGCCACACGACCCCCCCCTCTTTCCCCCCCTTCCTTTCACCCCTCTTTCCCTGAATTTTAGCCCCCCACCCACCCAAAAAAAAAACCCTCATTCCATCCTTTAATTCCAGAGCTGGCTGTTGATTTATTTTTTATTTTATTTTTTTGCTGGAACCTCGAGTCCTCCCCGTTTTTTCTTCCCCCCCCCCCGACCTCCCCCCGTCAAATGTCCCTTAAATATTTAACCCCGTAGGATATTGAGAACACTAGCACTTTATTAAAACGACGTGGGGAGGGGAGGTGGGGGGGGGCCGCGTTTTATCTTCGATGTTGTCGGGAACAGATTCTGTGAAATGGGTAGAGGGGCACTTCTCTTCCCCTCCCTCTCCCTTCTTTCCCCTACCCCCCCCCCCCTCTCCCCCCAAAAGCCGGTAGCTGCCGTATAATTCGGAATAAGCTTCTGTGTTCCTCCGCTAGACAACTTCCGCCATTACTGGTGCTATATGATCGCTTGCCCGTTCCAATAAATGGATTTTGTGTTAGCGACAGGAGGCCTCGCCCATTTTTTCCCCCCGCCATACGTCTGTGTGTGTGTGTGTGTGTGTGTGTGTGTGTGTGTGTATGTTTTCTTAAGTTTTTTGCGGGTACTTACATGTATGGCATTCAGCTTTGTTCAGGTATTTTCCCACGTCATTGTAGTTGTGCTTTTAAAGTTGTAGCAACGTTTCGGCAGAATCTCATCTGCCATCATCAGGCTTCTGTACTGTGTTCGTCTGTGAGTCAGGCTTTTACACATACACACACACATATATATATATATATATGTATATATATATATTCCACCCATTTTAAAGCGTACTGGATGGGGGATTCTGGGAGTTGAAGTCCACCCATCCTAAAGCCTG